CAATGTTTGTTAGGACCACAGGGAAGCTGGGGGTAGGGTGAATGATTAAATGCTGGTCTGGTAGCTTTGTGGGTTTTGTAGGTCTGGAGCCAAGCCCACCTGAACTCAGGCACCAAAGCAGCACAACTAGGCTCCAACTCACACTGATGTAGCTTTTAACCATGTGGCTCTGAACTACTGGAGAGCAGAGTTTGCATTGGGGATGGATGAGGGTGGGAGTTGGTCACACCTCTGGTCACCAGCAAAGTATGGGAAAAATGAACAAATCACACCTTTCCTATCGCCTGTGTGAATCTGCTCAGCTAGGCCTCCTTCTGTTGCCAAAACTGCTCACAAGATGGTCGAGCTGCATGTAACCAGTCAGTCTCCCTCTCTCACCATCCCTGGTCAGCTTCTCCTCCCAGCAAATACTTTATCAATTTCTCTAACCTTTCTTCTGATGTCCAGGCTGCCAGAGTTTTCATCTGTGTCTGTCTTGTTTGGTCTTTCATATCTTTGCTGTAGAAGGTCTGTGTAGTGTGTCTGCCTAGTCAGCTATCTTGCTTGAAGTGAAGCCTGGTCTTTTTTTTTTTAAGATTTTGAGTTTTGATTCACATTTCCTTCTACTCTCTCCAGGGCTTTCTAATGTGATCTCTTTCAGAGCAATTGGCAGTGGCAGCAGAACACCAACTAATTCTTCTGGTCTTAGAGTCATGGAGACTGATTGATGTTCCCATAGTCCATTAGTCCATTGGTCTAATTGTTTCCTAGTATCTTCAATTTTCATTACTTTTCTTTCTTCCAAACATGGAGAGATCAATAGTTGGTCTTAGATGGACACTTAGGAGCTTTTTTTCCTTCTTTCTGTTGACTTTGTTTATTCACATTTCAGGGGCTGTGACACTTACGAGCTTTTAATACACGAGTTGCTACTCAACCAAGTATGACACAGAAAATTGTCTTTGTGAACTGTTATGCCTATTGAACTTAGTATTCCTTAGACTATGGTCCTGAGCCCCCAGGCCCAGTAACTCATTCCCTCAAGGTGTTTGATTGTGTCTAAAACATTTTCATAACTTTGCCTTTGTATGCTCCACAACACTCAAGGATATACCTACAGCAAAGGTAAATAAATACCCATGTACCATATCCTCTGTAAAACCTTTATATATTTGTGGGTATAATGCCTGTCTTCTTCTCACACTCAGAATACGTGTCTGTCCATGTATCTACCCACTGTTGTTGTTGTTGTTGTTAAGTGGCTGTAGAATCGGTTTCTACTCATAGCCACCCTGTATAGGTTTCCAAGGAGTGGTTGTTGAGTTTGAACTTCTGACCTTGTGGCTCAAACCTACCTTGTGGTCCTAAGTTTATCCTACAATATATCTACCCACAGATCACGGTTTTTGTAGGATTGTTTTTATAATAGTAGTTACCTCTGTTCCCTTTAACTCTTGCACGCCCCTGCCTTCACCATTCTTCTGAGATTGAGAGGTCTTTGATTACTGATTCAATCGCATTTCTTATTGTAGGCTGATTGAGACTTTTTCTTTTGAGTCAGTTTTGGTGATTTTGTGCTCCAAGGAATTTTGTTTAGATTATCTACTTTGTCAGCGTGTACTTGTATACAGTATTTTCCTATAATTCTTTCAATTTCTGTAAGGTTGGTAGCAATGGCCTTACAGATTTTGATTATTTGCCTCTTCACTTTTTCTTAGTGTAGCTAAATTTGTCAATGTCATTGATTTTTTCCCCTATAATTCTATTGTTTTTCCATCCTGTATTTCATTGAGCTCTGCTTTAATTTTTCTTCATCTTCTTTCTTACTGATGCTTTAAAGGAGCTCTGGTAGCGGTAGCGTAGTGGTTAAGAATCTGGCTGCGAACCTCACAGTCAGCAGTTCGAAACTACCAGCTCTTCCATGGGAGAAAGGTGAGGCTTTCTGATGCTTTAGGCTTAGTTTGTTCCTTCTACCACATAGGAATCAACTTTGGACTAATGGTAATTCTCTCTCCTGCTGCTGAAGTCAGAAGATTCTAGGCACTGTTCTAACATTACAGTGCCCAATCCTGTGACTAAAGGGTAAAAAGAGAGGTCCTCTTTCCTCTTTGCCTCACCTACCACTAAACCCTACACCTCCTTATTGCTGTCACTACTATCCTCATTCTTCATGGCCAAACCTCTGTCGGTGAACCCACTTTTCATTCTTCCTCTGAACTTTGTGGATCTCCCATATTTCAGCTTCTTCCCTTATTTATTTGCTTATCCTGGCCTTATCCCTTCTTTGACTTTTACCAGCTTAGTGCAGTCCCTCATCACTCCATACTTGGGATATTACAATGGCCTCTTAACCGGTCTTATCTGGTAAATAATCTTCTGCCTCTTACATGACATCTATACAATAAATACATTTATGGATCAGTCCCTGTGATGCTCAGGGAGATGCCAAAGTTGAAAAGACAATCATGATCCCTGCTCTCCTGGGGCTTAAGAGGATACTGGGGACCAGAGTGAATACAGTGAAATAGGTGGTGACAGAAAGGCCAAGAGTCAGAGGAGCGCACAGAAGGAGGAGTTAGCCCAGAAATGTTTTCTGGAGGTCAGATAATGAGAGTGGGTAAGAGTGAGGAAAGAAAGTTCCAGACAGAGGGTACAACCTTACAGAGGCTGACTCCACCAAGGGACTTAGAGGAGTCAAAATGCCTAGTGTATAGAGTGGGGATGATTGAGGAGTATAAAGAGTTCAATTGCTTGGCTACTAACAGAAAAGTTGGAGGCTTGAGTCTACTCAGAGGTGCTTCATGAGAAAGGCTTAGCAGTCTAATTCCAAACCGCATGGAGCACAGTTCTACTCTGACACACCTCAGGTTGCCCCGAGTTGGAATAACTTGACAATGGTTATGATATTTCATACAGTATGACGGGAGAATAGTGACATACAAGACTAGAAAGTTGCAGAGAGGGGTGACTGGGTGACAGCTATAGAATCTACCCCAAACACAAAGACTTATTTCATGATATCAGGTCTTTGTTTAAAGATATATGGCAGATACCACTGATTGCCACATGACCTGAGAATCTCTCCAAGGCCGTTTCCTCCACTGTAAAATGAGGTGCTAATATCTACTTTGTTACAGAACTGTGAAGTATTAAGTCCATAGTCTGGAGGCTCAGTGAGAAGGACATGTTTCACACATATTTGGATGCTTCCCTAGAGCCTTTGTGCATGGTTAAGGACACCTAACATTTTATATCTGGACTTCTTAACCCATAGTTAGTAAACTTCAATGGAAAAAAGTTGCATCTTTATCTTCAATAACCTCTCTACTGAAATCCAGTATTTCCTTTCATTATGCCTGTAGACAAGAAATCACAGTAGTACATCATGTGACCTGGTCATAGTAGCAGTCACATGTACTTTCATTCACAATAGAGTTGCTGCAGGGATCTTAAAGGACAATTTATGTGCCTCATTAGTTATTAGGCCTGCTGTTACATCATGTTAATGTGATAATCAAGAAGCATGATTTTATTAGATAAAAAATCTGGGTCTTAAATTTTATGAATTGCTTTTAATTATCTCCATTTCCTTTTTAGAGATGAGGAAATAAAGGCCAGAGATAGCTCTGACGCCAACAGTCAGAAATGATGAGTCCAGGCCTCTTAGTATGCTCTATAAAAGCCCTGTATCTTCATTGCCCACAGATTCATACTACCAAACTGATGTATGTGCGGTCCCCAAGACAAGCCATGCTCTTACACATCCCAAGGTCAACTGGGGACGGCATTGCTCCTGATTGTCCTTGGCCTAGAATACACCTAACAAGCTCTGGTTCGTTCTCTGGGTCAACCTTTAAGAATCAGTCCTAGTATACTCCACTGTTCCTGTGAGGAGAGGCAGTGTTTTAATGGTTTTTGTATTTTCAGCCTTTCACATAGGGCCTAGAAAGGTAAGGGATCCATAAATATTTGCCCCTTGTCACATCTAGAACCTCTGATAGCAAGAGTGGTTCCTTGTTAAGGTGTTACTGTTTAGTGCCATTGAGTCAGTTCCCACTCACAGAGATTTTGTATAGGGTTTCTGAGAAGCAACTGGGGGGTTTGACCACCGACCTGGCACTAGTCCAGTGAGTATACTATAGTGCCACACTAGGAGTTCGATCCAGCAATTGCCACGGATGGGTTTATTCAATCACTCAACAATACATAATGGGTCTGTTATGCTCTGCACACTGGGCCAGGTGCTGGGGATCAAAGATGAATGGAGAAATTAACTGGGAGGAGACACTTGAGCTGAAACTTTAAACACATCCTAAAATCTGCAGAACAAAAACAACAGAAAGTTTAATCTGTCCTTTCATTCAGATGTGTGACACCCCACTCCCACCGTGTTCCCCAAGTGATTTGAGGGGGATTAGATACCTAATCCCCAGGTTAGGTCTCACTTTCAGGAAGGTGTGAGGTCTGAATCCTAATCTGGATTCACACCTGGCCCCATTGTACTCCTAATTACCTGTTTTGGATCCAGGAATTACCAGTCTGGTTGCCAGCACATTTGCCATTGCGAGACCCCTGGGAGACTTTAAAACGAACTCTACCTCTACTCAAGAGACCCCATCTAGATTTGGGCCTTTTAGAAGAGCAGCTGCCCCTGAGAATCTCAAGCAGTCTTCCTAGAAGTTGTGACCCCTTTAAAAGGTGGAGACTGGAGGGCGCAGGCTAGTGACCTCGGGACGCGTCACAAATCCTAAACGAAACTCTTCCTCCTAAAGGCGACCCTGCGGTCCCATCCGGCTCCTTTCGCTAGCTGCTCTGCAAGCGCCAAGGCGCAGGCGCCGATTGGCCAGTGCCATCACGGGGCGGGGCCAAGCCTTAAAGGGTCCAGAGCTAAAGCTGACCTGAGGTGGCGGTGGCACCAGGGAACTGAGGGAGGTGATGCTGCCTGCTCTCCAGTGGTGCCGCCTGCACTCCATGTGGGTTTCTTTTTGGCCCCTTTAGTGTCCATCTCTAATCTTGGACCCATGGAGCCCACAAGAGACTATCCACTGTTCGGGGGCGCCTTCTCCACTATCCTCCCCCCAGGGGCCATTGATGTCAGGTGAGGAAGCCAACGTGCCACTTGGAGGCAGATTGGGAGGGTTGTGGGAAGAGGCAAAGGTCAACTGGGGACGGCATCGCATCTCCCCAGTGAGCTCCGGCCGGTTCCGGACAATCAGGAAGTTTTCTGCCATCGCGCGACGGACCAGAGTCTGATCGTGGAACTTCTGGAGCTGCAGGCCCACGTGCAGGGCGAAGAGGCTGCGATGTGAGGATCGCGGTCCGTGGCCAGCCAATGGGTGGGCGGGATCTGAGGAAATGGGCGGGGCCAGTGACTTGACGGTTAATTGGGGCAATGACGGTTAATTGGGGCAGGATTGCAGGGAACCTGGAATTTAGAGGTGTTCATGGGAGGGGGGCGGGAATGCCCCTCCTTGATTCTCTTCTTCCCAACACAGATACCACTTTGAGGACATTGGTGGAGTGCAAGGGGCTAGGGCTGCGCATGTGGACGCTGTGCGGCCCCTCCCTTTGGAGAACCTGGCCTTGAGGGATTGCTGTCATGAGGCCTGGGTCCTCTCTGGCAAGCAGCAGGTGGCTAAGGAAAACCATCAGGTGAGGGCCAGGGGAGCATGGCATGCTGGGAAGGGAATGAGGTGGGATGGGGAGGAGGGTATCCCTGGGAACCAGGCGCATCTCCTGACTGATCTCTTTAGGTAGCAAAGGAGGTGACACTACACCAGGCCTTGCTGCGGCTGACTCAGTACCAGACCGATCTCCTCCTCACCTTCAATCAGCCCCCGTAAGGAGGAAGGAAAAGGCTGGTGACTGGGTCCCCAGGAGAATAGGACTGGGAGAGGGAGAGAAGGGAGGCTGAGGAGTGGAGTCCTGAAAGGAAGGGAGAGAAAGGACCAGGGATTTGGAGTCTCAGATACCCAGGTCCCCTGGGGAAAAGAATATGGGAACTTCCAAACCTGGGCCTTCATGATGTTTTCTCTCCATCTGTATCCCCAAGTCCTGAGAACAGGTCATCTCTTGGCCCTGAAAATTTGTCACCCCCACCATGGAGCCTGGGTGACTTTGAACAGCTGGTGACCAGTTTGACCCTTCACGATCCCAACATCTTTGGTCCCCAGTAAAGATACTGATGCCAAACACCGAAGCACCATGTGATGCTGCTGAGGACCCAAGGGCCCAGTAATGCAAGGGGAAACATAAGACACTTCCACTCTGCAGAAATAAACTTGCTTTATAATCAATATAATCTCTGTGCTTTTGAATCTAACAGGACACCTGGGTCCCTCCAATTCCCTTTGGTCTTGGAGGGGGCATTTAAAGCTGTGCACGGGAGCAGGAGGGACCCAAGGCCAGCAGTGCAAAAAAGAAGGAAGTACACTCTGGAGTGATGGACTCAGTCCTGAGAGAGGGGTGGGTAGGGAGCCACAACACTTGAGACGGAAGGGAGGGAAACTATCCCATGTAGTGATTCAACCCTAAGAAAACAATAGATGGATGAAAGGTCACCTGGTCATAAGTCCCAGGACCTTATATGGAGGCATAAGTGTCCCCTAAGTAGTACCAGTTGGTGGAGGTAGGGGAGTGCCTGTTATTTGGTGTACTTGTAGTAGAGTGAACGCAGCTGGTCCCAGAAGAAGAGGGAGAGGATGGTGTGGGGGCCGAGGCGGAAGTAGGAGGCACCTATGCCCTTGTACATGCCAAAAATGCCCTCTGTCCGAGCCGTCTGCAGCAGAGCGTCCAGTATCCCCCGGTACATGAGCCCCTGAGAGCAGGTTGGAGAGGGAGGGAGAAAGAGCATGAGGACTTTGTCAGAGAGCCCAGCAGCCTCACCTGCATCCACACGTGCTTTCTCCTTCCCTGAAAGGTTCTGCCTGCACTCTAGAACACTCCCTTACCTTGCCCTGAGCATCTGTGGGTTGGTTGTAGAGTCTTGTACAGGCCACATCAAATGGTGTCATGGCAAGAACCACCACAATGCCACTCACCATGGCAGCCACCAGAGCCACCTTCCAGCTCTGAGAAGGAAACACCTAGGAGGAGAAAGAGGAAGAACTTTTGTCAGTCAGGTAATCATGCAACACCTAGAGTAGGCCAGGACTTGAGCAATGCATACAGGGATCTTACACTCCACCAATTACAACACAATTTGAAGAGCTGTGAAGGAAGAAGGGCATACACACCTGGGAGGATGTGATGAGAGAATTGTCAAGAACTGACATGAGTCAGTGACTCCCAATCCTTTTGCTGCTCCCTCACATTTGAATGCTGGCATTGCCCCCTCTAGGGTCCACTTCAGCTTGCCCTCCCCGCTCCCATTCCCAGGAAATCCCGACCCATTCCCTGGGCAGTACCTCCCACTGGGTTATGAGGTCCTTGGTGGATGAGAAGGTGCACAGCTGGGTGGAGGAACCGATGATAACTCGGGGCAGGCCGCCCATGGACCCACGCCACAACCCCACCAGACCATGTTTCTGGCCAATCTGGGTTAGCGCCTGAAACATGCCCTGGTGGGAGGAAGACCATGGGGGCAGGGTTCAGTCACCCTAGTATCTGCAATAGATGGGTCCTTAACAGGTACCTGTTGTCCAGACAACTAGTTCCATGTGGGTTCAGAGCTAAAATGTGGCCCCTCCGTTATCTACCATCCATTCCTCTTTCCCTACCACCAGAATAGGGGAATGTTAGCAGGTCAGGAAAATAGGGTGGGAAAAGCAGGTGCAGAAAACTAGAGGGCCTTAGGAACATGTTGGGCAAAGGAATTCCATAGGCAGAGTGCAGCTGAACTGAGGAGCTGGGATTGGAGCTGGCTGGTACAGGTAGAATGCTGGAGGAAATGGGATAGGATGGGCAGGGATAATAACTGAGGGGTTAGGAAGTCCTCACCTGATGTTTATACTGGTGTCCTACTGCAATTTCTGAGGCTGCCTGTGCCTGTAGGTGTGTCTTCACCTGGCAACAAAAGAGTGTAGCAAAAGAGTGTATGCCCCGGTGGCCATCCTGCTATTTCAGAAACCCAAATAAATGGTTGACCGCCCCCCTCACGTTTCCTCTAGGGTGCTCAGCAAAGAATATCCTTTAATCTGATAATTATTGTTGCTCCCATGAAACAAATTGGTCACGAGACTGTGTCTCTTGGTTCCAGTCCCATGGGATGGATTTTAGCACAGCAAGACACCCCACCCCCTCCACATCCTCCTTCCCTTGGGTGTGGGGGAGGGGAGTGAAGAGGTTGGAGAACAGCAACATTTCCCCTTAGCTAAGACCTGGGTAGCCAGCCTGTCATGCCAACTCCCATTCCTAGAACACATCTCCAGCAACCATGAGGTTCCCCATCAGACTTTGGGGCACATTGTGAGGGTACATCTGCAAAACTTGGCTATGGGGCATGTGTCTGTCTGACTTTTGAGGGGTCACAATTCCTGAATCTCACACCCTGGAAGTAAGACCTCTCCTCCTGAACACACTGTTGCCCAGTATCTTTCCAGGAGCATTAAGCAGAGACTAACACTGGACTGCAAATCAGAAAATCTGCAGTTTGAGTCCACCAGTCACTCTGCAGGAGCAAAATGAGGCTTTCTGCTCCTGCAAAGATTTACAGCTTTGGACACCCTATATAGGATCACTATGAGTTAGAACCAATGTAACAGTACTTAACAACAACAACAAAGTCCTAGCAAAGCAGTCGTGGTGGTGCTGTGGGTTAGGTATTGAGCTATTAACTGCAAGGTCGGCAGTTCAAATCCAACCAGCAGCGGGAGAAAGATGAGGCTATCTTGACAGCAGTAGAGGTGGGTGGAAGTCCTAGCAAAAGGAGCCCTGGTGGTACAGTGGTAAAGTGCTTGACTGCTAGCCAAAAAGTAGAGGTTTGAACCCACTATTTCTAAGGGAAACGATGTTTTCTTCCGTAAAGTCTGCTTCCGTAAAGACTACAGCCTTGAGAACTCTATAAGACAGTTCTATTCTGTCATATAGGGTCTCTATGAGTTGAAATTGACTCAACGGTGGCAATGGAGACAAGTAGTCCTAGCACTAACCAGCTATGTGACATTGAGCTAGTCAATGTCTTGGCTTCTCTTGGCCTCAGGCTCCTCCTGGCCCTTCATTTATACCAGACGAACTCAAAGGGGCAGACTGTGAGGCTGTAACTCTGCAATGATCCCGGGGACCCCCGATCCCTGTACCTGCTGATATACATTATTCAAATTCCTCATCCTCCCCTACATAAACCCACCTCCAACCTCAATATCATATAATAATAAACATTTTTGTGTTGTTGTTAATAATAAAGATATTAACAAATGTTTACTAGGTGCCAGAATTTGTACTAGTACTTTCTATCTGCTATCTCATTTGGTTCACTCAATCCTTCTAATAATCATACAAGAAGACCCTGCACCAAGATCTAAAGGTCCCAGGCAGAATCTCTTCTTACCATGTAGATGGGGCTCCCCAAGTAGGCTCCCAGGACCCCAGCTAGGGCCCCAGCTGCTGCGCTGCGGGCAGGGCTAAGCGTGCCTTCTGCTGTGTGCAGGTAGCCCCCAGCCTCAGCTAGCCCATAGGTGCCCAGTCGGATGCCATTCATCAAGAACTGGTATATGAGGGCTGGTGCCAGGCCCTTCTGCAGGGCAGCCAGGCCATCCACTTTGCCGATGGTGATGAAGGCATGGAAAACATTTCTATAGTGCCTCTGGTAGCTGCCAGGAGCCTGCAGCTCTCCCTGCAACTGCATCCTCGTTTTCACCACCTCCAGGGGGTTGGTGAACACACAAGCTCCACAGGCTGCCAGGCCACTCAGCAAGAAGTCCATGGTGGAGTAGTGGTGGCGGCAACTGGCCCAAGAGTAAGAAAGTCAAAATGAGCCTCAGAATGGATTTAGGAAGTCAGGGGAAAGACTCTAGTTTTAGCAGTTCAGGCTGCAGGAGGTAGGACTTTAGGAGTCTGGAATCAAGATTGCCAGCCAAATGTCAAAAGGTCAAGAGTTAGCTGGAATTTGGGGATCAGGAGCAGGCAAAGAAGGAAGAAAAAGGGGTCTAGTGGAACCTACTGAGAAGGTCAAGGGGATCGAGGTCAAGGAGGAAGGTAGCAGGTAGGATGCTCAGGATGGTCGGCTATGGGAGCCAGGAGTAGGGGAGGGAACCACGGAGTTGGGAGAGCGAGGAGATAGAAATAAAACAAACAGGTTAAGGAGGAAAAGGATCCGGAAGGGAATCCGGTGGAGTTCCGGGGACAGCAACGGAGATCTTGATCTGCCAAAGAAGTCCTGGTTCCGGCCGGTGATCAGAGTCCTCAAGCAGCAGCTGCTGGAGCCCACAGCGACTCTGTCAGCAATAGCCAGCGGAGGCCAGACCGCCAAGCTCTAGTCACTGGAGCGTGGCGCCCAATGGGGAGTCTCGAGAGCTACAGCAGAGAATCTCAGCCAATTAGCGCCGAGCCGGCTTCCCGACCAATGGGAGGTGCCATCGGCGACCCGGCCTCCGGAATCCACCGAGAAGTGGTTGGCGCGTTAACTCTTACTGCCCAGGCGCGAACGGAAGTTCTGTGACTGGTTGTGCAGGTGTTTTCACTGGAGAGGGGAGATGGAAATTGGGTCTTGGAGCCCAGGATGGAAGCAGAGATTGAACGAAAAGGCATCAGCCCTCCATATTTGGGATTTTCCCTTTCGCCTTCTCTCCAGGGTCATGGCTCAGAGAGGCGGCCTAACTGCGAGGTCTACACCCTGCTCGGCTGGCTCTCCCGAGCCCGGAAACTGCGGCCCCGCCCGCAGCGATAGATGGGAAACACTTACTGGACTGGATACATTTCCTGAGGCTGAGTCGTGTGTGCTTCTAGAGCCTCGGAGCTTGTGGGAGCGGAAGGAGAGAGGCTTGGAGGATAGTGAAAATAGCGTAGTCTCACTCATAAATTCTTCTGATTTTCACTGCAATCCAGAGTGGAAGGCAGGCAGGACAGGGATTTTGATCCTTTCTATATAGGAACCCTGGTGTGGTACTGTGGATTAATATGCTGGATTGCAAAGTCAGTTTGAACCGCAAGATAGGCAGTTCAAGCTCACCAAGCGTTCCTCGGAAACCTTATATAGGGTCGCTATGGGTCTGAAACGACTCGACGGCACTTAAAAACA